ATGATGATGCCGCTCCCCTTATTGTCGCATTTAGCCTCACGGATCTCCGTAATCCCATTTCTTGAACATTAGAATTTTCACTTGTGGAATTTTCTAAATTTCTAGCCATTATATTTTGCTTATACGTTTTATCAAAGAACCTTTGCAAGTAAAAAATTCTAATAATAAGAACGTATGAAAAATATTCAAATGGACTAGAAAATAAAGAAAAAACCTTTTTTGTGCGAGAGTCTTCTATGAGTATGGATTTCAACTCTCAATGAAAGCACCAATTTGTGGATGCAAATTTCTTCCTCCTCGATCTTGGACGATTTTGCACCTACAAAACAATTAACACCTTAGGTTAAGGCCAAGAGCCTCACGCGCCCACGATGAATGGGGGGGCTTTGGCCGAAGAACCTCCGATGCCAAAGTTAGAATTTAGAGAGAAAGAGTGTTTAGAGAATTTTGGGATTTTTGCCAAAGTGTTGGAATTAGCTTTTTGGTGAGAATGGGAGTATATTTATAGGGATAGGAGGTGGCTAGGGTTTTTAGGTTTAATTAGCCAATTTATTTGGCTATTAAACATAAAATGAATGTTTTGGTGGTTTTTTGTATAATTGGCTAATAAAAAGGAAGAAATGGTGGGAAAAGGTAGAAAAAAGGTAATGGATTAGGTTTTTCAATGGGATAGCCGGCCCTCTTGTGTTTTTAGGTTTGAGTGGATGTTTCAAATTGACAATTAAGGGATTGATTAAGTAATTAATCCCTTAATTAGTCAATTATTATGATTTTATGAAATATGAAAGGAATAAGTATATTATTTAGCTAATTGATTAGCTAAATAATGAAATGAGAAATATATGAATAAATTAGGTTTTAAGTTGATACCTATTTTGGGCACTTTTGACTTGGTTGAAAAAATGATTCTCTACTGCTCGCGTGTAGGAAACCCGGTATGCCTCGAGGGTATTTTTGTCCTCTTTTGTCCAAAAGTCCACGTGTTGCCTAGTGAATATTTTTGGCTCCACAGTTACCATGTGGTTTTGTCCCTGAGATTATGATGCTTAAGTACGTGTGTGGCCCTAGTTCTCTAATTGGGGAAAGTGAAGAGAATGCTTTATTGGATGATCTTGATTAACAAGTTCTTTTGTTTACCTAAAAGGAAGCGGTGGACTTTAATACAATCTCTTTGTAAGTTTTTGTCTTTTGGGGACGTGTGGGTTTAGGGCTATCAAACTTTTACACTTGATGACAATAGGACGATAATTTTTGTGGTATTTTTTTTCGTTTGTAAATGAGAATTTTAAGTTCAATTGATGAGTTTAATTTATAACAAATTATAGATGATTCATTGTGTGATTGATCATAGATCTTCATCTTACATCTCGTATATATTAGTATATATGTTGATAATCGCGAATGCTATTGTTTGAAAACAATTATATTTCAAGGTTAACAAATGACGGCTATTAACAATATGCTGTATACTAATTAACTGGCTAACAAAGCATATGTGTATGCATGCGTGGAGCCAAAATAATTAAGAAAATTATAGAGGTGACACGTGGATTTTTGGATTAAAATGACAAAATTACCCTCGAGGCACACCGGGATTCCCAAGAGCATGCAACGGACAATAACGGCTCAATCAAGGAAGAGTCAAAGGTGATCAAAATGGTATTTATTCAAATCTCTCTCATCATTCCTCATCAAATCATTATTCAAAAGCTAACTCCCAATTTTCCTATTTAATTTAGGATTAATTACCATGTTAATTATTCACACAATTCTACCATATATGGCCACCCACTATTCTCCAAATAGGATGGGCTACTCCCCTATAAATAGCCATATTTTCCCACTAAAAATCTAAGTCATTTGTTACCCACAAACTCCTAAACATATTCTTATCAGAATTCTAACTTTAGCATCAAAGATTCTTTAGCCAAAACCCCTCATTCATCGTGAGCACATGAGACTTTTGGCCTTAATCTTAGGTGTCATTATTTTACAGATGCATTTTCGTCAAATGAGAAGATGGCGGAAATTTGCATCCGGAGCATGCATGGCATTTTGTACCAATTTAAACTCGGCTACCTGCAGCTATATTAAACGTTATTGCTTACTATATTCAATGTTATGAAGAAGAATGAGTTGAAGCTACATAATGTCAAAAGACTGGTTGCATGAAAACTTTGAAAATAAAGCATTTTGACTCTTCCTCACCGCCCAATATTAGTTTGTTTTCACCAACTTCTGTTCTATACACACTAGAACACCCATAGGACACAAAAAAAGGCTGTACCAGTTCAAAATCAAATTGTCATCAAAATTTAGAACATATATAAAAATATCCACGTACATATATATATTCATATAATATTGTATGGTATGCATATACATATAATATTCTACAGTACATATGTATATGTATATGCATATATACATATAATATTGTACAATATGGGACTACGAAATTTTTCCAACGACAATGCAATTGTTTTTAAAGCGCGCTCGTATTTCAATGATAATCTTAAGTTCAAACTCATACCCACAATCTTAAATACTTAGATTAATATGTCAGAGTAATCACGGAACATGAATTTTTATTTGTAACTTTAACATATGTTAATATAAGATTTATTCATTTCAATCTTATCATTGAGACCAAACGAGACTTAAAACGTTTAACATCAAATTAGTTAACCTTTAGTGATGAGCAACGAAACAAATGGGCAGTTCGAACCATCGATCACATCTCTTTTTGTTCTTGTCAAATTAAATGAATCTCTCTATTTTTAAGGTTCTATATATGCCTGAATCATATGGATACATTTGCTCCTTTCAGGTTTTAGGTGGATTGTACAATGCATGCAATAGCCACCTGAGGAACAAATAACACCACCGACGCCCGCGCTAAGAGGCAGTCAAGGTGCCACGTAAGCCAAATTGGTCTCAAATCCTGACTGAGAAGTCGTAGATGGTCTACTCTCAAAGGGGGACGCACTCATAGGAGAGATTTTTTTTTTTTGTGTCGAAACACAATCTTGTGTATCAAGTAACATAATATAAGTAGTTGAATGTTTCAAAAAAAAAATATTACTACTTGTATTGTAACACTTAGGAATATATTGTTTTCTGACACATTGCAAATTTTTCCACTCATAAAAGCTTTGCGTTGAATTAGAAGGGGAAAAATTGGAAATCAACGTGGCGGAAGATATGTCTCCAAGACCATTTGTGATTGTGGAGTCCAGTTGTACATTCAATTTAGCGAGTCCCCCATACCGTATGCACACCGTATGTGCATTGTATAAACATATACATATACATATAGGTTTTTATGTATGTATAGGTCATACGTGCACTGGTTTTATAGGGGCAGTTTCAAGGGTTGCGGCTCTCAGTGCTTCTGTCCAGAAAGCGGCCTTGGGGAAAGAGATCATCTTCAAATCTCTTCCTCTAAAGCCCACAGATAAAATGATCTGGATTTTTTTAATTTGATTTAATGGTAAAAAATTATTATAACTTTTAAAAAAAAATTTACTAACTTTTTTTGTTTTTTAACCGTTAAATTAATTTTCAGTAGCCTAAATCACTGGTTTTGAAAGAAGAGAGCCCAAAACTCATAAGGCACTCTACTTCCTGTGTATATGTAACACGTGGCAGGTCCTCAACCCCGTCACCGACCGGGACCACTGTGGTGGCTTCTCTTATGGGCACGCGGCCTGCAAAAATTCCCGCCGCCATACACCCTATTTCTCTTTCTCGTAGTCTACCATTCCATCACGTTTTATTTCGACTTTTTTCACCTTTGCACGTGCCAACCTATATTTAATAGCCCTCCAATTAGGATTTGTTTTCTTTCTTTTAAAGAATACAAATTTCTTCATGTTTTTATTTTTCCACACGATGGAATTTTGTTGGATTTGAGTTGGTATCTTAATGATATTAAGTAATCGAATAGATCTCATAAAAAAAATTGTGACGATACACAAAAAAGATAACTAGATGTGCTGTTCTATTGCAATAAATATAAACATAAGAAACCACTTCAAATATTAATAATTGATTTGCCAACCTTCAAAAACAAGACATTTTTAAATTCACCTTCGATAAACTTGCCGTAAACATGTCAATAAGCCTTTTTAAAAATCTTTCAACTTCGACCTAGAAGTGAAAATATACATTGATGTTATTTAAGCCTTTTTCTAGAACCATAGCAAAAGATAATTCAACATAAAGGCAGTATCAAACAAATCGGTTACCAATTAAACTAGCTGAAGATTTGGATTATATGATTATGGACACACGTCACACACCATCTTTGATTTGTCTTGCTAAATGGGTTCTAATTAAGCAACTTGTCACGTCGGTACGAGGGCATACAAAAAAGAAATGGAGCTTTGACATCGTATTTAGATGGCATTTGATATGGCTAACTAACAAGAGATAAAAGCTCTTTTTTTTTTAATTAACCTGTGGAAAGTTGTTCTTAATGGCTAACTTAAGATACAAGTCCACAAATCCCACGACACCACGTAGGGAAAATAATTGCAAAATACCTTTTAGCAATCTAGAAACTTTGAGGGGGCTTTAATCTGGTTCAGGCCCCATGGACAAGACTTTCAAAAGTTTGCACCACTTAATCAGTTGCATATTATAACAGTTTAATAAGGACATAAGTAACTAAAGATGGTGGAACCAATTATGCACTTATTTTGTATTATAATATATTTAAAATAAAATATCTTATTAAACATGCTTCTATAATGCAGTCAATCTTAAAACAATTAATTTTTTTTTTATGTTTTTTATTAAAACAAGAAACATATCACAAATCTGATTCTTAACAAATTTTTAAAACTTACATGCATTTTGACGTAAGTTACAATTTTAATGTATATATATACTAATAAACAGTATATGAACGTAGAGGTGGTAATTGTATAGTAGTCAAATTTCAAATATTATGTTTATCAATAAAATTAGTAAGTAATACACAAATATGATCGTAATTATGTGCCAACTTAACAAATCTGGTTGCATAAATTCAATGTCATACATTCCAAAGAAAGAAGAAATTAAAAAATAAAATCTCAAATTACAGATTCCTCACCCAAAAATAAAAAAGAACAAATTACAAACCGGTTATTAATCAACAATTAGATCTATGTCCTTCACAAATCCTATATTTAGATAAATTCTATTTCATGGGTTTTTCTTCTATTTCCCGAAATATATTTTCTTCTACATTTTTGTTCTGTTTTTATCTCTAGCTACAATGAATGCATAACTTTCACCCCCTTTTATAGTAATTTCACACGTTCGATCATCAAATGTTGCTGAGCTGCTGTTGTAAGAACCACATGTCCTCAACATTCCACAAATTGTCCGATATGTCCCCACTGTCCACAGTGCCCCACTGATCATTGTTGTTTTGCTCGTCCATGTTTTGGAAATGTTCTAATCCGAACCCTTGATTACTGAAGTACCCCGAGTAGTTGTCGTAAGTACCAACTTGATGATTGGCCTGGACGAAGTAACTATTATCCGGGGTAGGGTTATTGTTAACCGAGATAGCCGTAGCAGCAGTAGTAGGGGTGTAATAATCAGTGAGGTCGGAAACAGGTGATACCTGAGTCCCAAACGAGTCCGATGAGGCCGCCGTACTAGAATTCTCCGGGGTACTGTAACTCGGTGTGAGTTGGGAGTGTGATGAAACCCCGAAGTGATGGTGACTTGGCTGTAATAACATTTGTGCTGATGATTGGAAGTTGTTGTTAATGTTGTTGTTGAAGTGGTGAGTGGTAGCTGGGGCAGCGATAGAGGAATTAGTGGCGGTGGCGTTAGTGGCAGTGGAGGTGGCCGCGGCGGCTTGGATTCTTTCGACCAATCTAGGCATCCAGAGGTATCTCATGGTGTCCTTGAACTGCTTGCTGTTGACATCACATTTGAGTTGCTTGGCATGTTTTTGGACACGGGTCCTCCAATAGTTTTTTATCTCATTGTCAGTCCTTCCTGGCAAGTGCTGTGCAATTTTCGACCATCTGTAATGATTGACAGAAAAGTGACCTTTTTGTCTTTGTATTTACTCATTAGGGTTAATTCGAGAAAGCAGACATAAAAAATCTAAAATCCATATACGTAGATAGATTCTTAGAATAATTGTTATCGTATGTTTTGATGATGATTATGTATAATTACCTGTTACCCCAGCGAGAATGAAGTTCCAGAATCAAAAGCTGTTCTTCAAGACTGATGTTACCACGACGGACATCAGGGCGGAGATAGTTGAGCCACCGCAATCTGCAGCTCTTTCCAGTTCTTTTCAGACCTGGGTTTTGGTTGCAAAGTTGAATAAGGTTGTCAGATATTTTGTAGCAAAATAATTTAAGTGAAGTTCTTTTAAGAACATTTTTTAATTATTTCCTTCAAATTGCTCATACTTTATGACAATTGGGTTCTCTAAAATATATATAAGCTTTTGTAGCCTCTGGGGATAAGGCTAGCTAAAGAATTATAGAAATCTTCATGGAAGATGTAGTTCACATCATCATCAACATATCTAGCATATTCTCACTCCCAAATCTTTATAAATTTTCACGCACTAATTTTTTTTCTTTTCAAGAAAAAGTGAAGCTTTTCACACTATATCTATCCTTTTCATAGGACCCAGAAGAGAAATGATTTTTTTTGGTGCAAATTATGGAGTTTCTTTGACTCTTTCTCACGACAATTTAAAACCCATCTCAATGAACTAAACAAAAAGCTGTAAAAAGAAATACCCAACTATTAAGCCAATTTCTATATTGTTGATAAACGATAGAATAATTTACGTTAAACTCATCTTATTATAAAATTATGATTTACCTGCGCAGCGAGCGAGGGAGTTCCAGCGGCCTTCGCCGTGGTTAGCAATGTAATTCATGAGAGCTAGGTCTTCCTCAACAGTCCAAGGCCCTCTTCGCAGGTCCATCATCTGATCCTCAGCTTCCTCATGATCATGAGAGCCAGTTTCATTGAGGATTTCTGCCGAGACTTGTGACGATGGGCTGTTGCAGCCTCTGGTTCCTTTCGCCATGTCCATCTCCAGAATATCAATTCTCCAAATGGACACACACAAAAAAGGGTTTGCTTAATGTTTTCCTTGCTTTGTTCTTGGAGATTTTGAGAGAGAGAGAGAGAGAGAGAGAGAGAGAGAGAGAGAGAGAGAGAGAGAGAGAGAGAGTTGGATGGATGTACGGGAAACAGAGAGGGGATGGCTTTTATAGATGAAATGATAGGATTGAAAATGGAGAAAAAGTTAAGCATGTGAGAGATGAGTTGGATAGATGTAGGACTAGGACGGACTTACACAATGCCGCAATGGGGACTTGTTGGAGTTGGGAAGTCTAATTACTTTTTAATCCAATAATTAAGCACACACACTTAAGCTTGTTTAACTTAAGTAAATATATTAGTTAGAAAAAGAGGCTTTCAAGTTTGACCCTTTGACTTTATTACCTCCTCCTCTTTGTTGTGCCTTTGTAAATGAATACGTGCGTGCGTGCATTTTGAGTTTAGAAAATGGTTTTTATCCATCTCGAAGCATGTTGCATTTTTTTTTTTTTTTTGTAAATTTTTATTCTTATTATATATGGAACTGCCAAATTCTACTTTGTGATGACGACAAGTTTTCTAATGGATTACTCTGTTTTCTTCTTCTATTCATATGCTTATTCTTTTGGCACTCTGATTAATTAGTTAAATGAATCTTGTGCCTGCTAGTTAGATGCCACAAGCTCCACAAATTCAAACTTGTCTATATATAATCGGGAAAGAATATTAACCTCGAATCACATCCATATCAACAGAAAACAATAAGAAGTGTCAAGAACAGCTCTTTGAATTTAATCTTCTTTTTTTGCTTCATGGGTTGGAGATTTTCTTTGTACATTTTTATGGAGTACAAGAACAATATCTCTTGGTGGATGCCTAAGGACATCTCCAACGGAAGATGTAAAATGTCTTGAAATGGGTATTTTACATTTTCTGTTATCCGGAAAGTTCTCCAATGAAAAACTGGAATTTATAACTTGATCGGAAAATGTAAATAAAAATGCAAATTTGCATATTATTTTTACATCTCATGGAGAGAAAAATTAACGGAATTTCAATTTTATATCTCTACTATTGGAGCACAACTCACGTTTACGTCCATGAAAAATATAAAATGGGATGTAAATGATCTCAAATGTGCATATCTCCATTGAAAATGCTCTAATAAAAGGTTTTGCATATTTCAATCCACAAGTTTAAGCTGACAAGTGAAGAGATCATAGGGTGATCGAGAATTCCATTTTGTGGTCCTGCATATTAAGATCACCAACCGATATACTGGCTCTGCTGCTTACCTGGCTAGCCTTATTGCCAAAAGGAAATAAAAAAACTTATCCGATCAGAAACATGGCTTGTTATGTGAAGGGACTCAATAAATATATACACTAATTCAACCAATTCAACCAATATGAGACTAATGCTCATCCTATTGATCACTTTTATTTAAATTACTAGATAATATTCATTGAAAATCTTACTCAAAATAGGTGAGGCATATGAAAAAGTAACACCTTTTTTTCGTTTTAGCATCAATCAATTTATAAAATAAGTGATCAAACATTGTTAATTTGTTTGTTTGTTTGTTTCATGTGGTCCAATATCCTAGTGGATATGTTGTTGGATTTCCACCCATAGGTTCCGAGTTCGAAACTCTCATCTCTCCTAAATTATTGTAATAGTTTCGAATCATTTCCCCCATCCCTTAATAATAATAAATTTAAATATAAAAAAAAAAGTTGTTTGTTCGTTTGTTTTCTTTTCATGTATTGTCCAATCACAACAAAGAAAACGTTTTTATTTTATTTTATTTTCTTGTATCCAATTTATCTTTTTTCCCCTTTTTTCTGGCAAATAATCCAATTAAGCACCTCTCGTAGCCTCAGGCTACTAATTAATAGTTACAAACCCCAACCTACAGTCTGAATTTCTGATGAGTGTTGAGAAGGTACAGCGTTTGACTGCTCAACACCCCTTTTCCCAGTGAATATGAAAATTAAATTAATCTTTTGTGAGGTTAGTAGAGCTCTAATCTTCTAATATTCTTTATAAACAACCTCCTTGATATGAGCTAGCAGTCCCCACACAAAGCTGTCTCCGTCTAATAGGTCGGCTTTTATTCACCACAACTTGGGATTGGTCCTATAATGTTGTATATGGTAAAGGAAGTTTACACATTTTTCTTACACAAGTATGAGAATAGATTTGGACTCAAGATACCAAGAGTAATTGTGTATACTCTTAACTAATTGAGTTACAAGTTCTTTGTAATGTGGAAGTTTAACTTTAAACATAATTCAAGCTTCACAAACAAATCTTAGACGTGGCATCGTAGATGCTCTCGATCACCAAAATTACATGCCCTTGCAGTTAATTTGAACTTTACAAATCAAATGTACATATAGTTTTGCCAGTTTGAGCAGGCTGATCATTGATAGGAGTTCATCCAAATAAATGCTTTGATTACCTAGCAGAAAGGGCAAAACTTTAATTAAATACTTGTATTTAATTTTTTTATCCCACTTATATTAAAGCACAGTAGACGGCCATCAAATATCATAGCAAATTGGTGATTAAAGTTGCTCAAAAGTTGACAATGCGGGAGTGATAATTAAAGAAACGGAAGTAGATATAGTCCTCCACTGCTGCTAATTAATGCAATTTTAATTAAAGGAAGAAGTTTTAGCCTACTAATCTCTAGATTATGCATCGTCAATCTTGCAACTAAACTATTGGTGTGTTTAATCAACTAACTATTGATATACTGCTTCTTTTTTTTCACCTTGTATTTTGGTATTTCAACTCTGCCTGTGGGAGTTTATCTTACATTATCGGTCCCAAACCCGGATGAAGGAGGAGGGGGAGAGCATTAGGTAGTGGACAATTGGCACTTCGTTCTTACATTGAATCCTTATGATAATGAATCTTAAACGAAATTGGCACAAAACGAGCGCAGTGACATTCTAGGATTCATATAGCCAACCCCACTTAGGATAAGGCTTTGTTGATGTTGTTGTATTTTGGTATTTCATGTATTAGAGTTCTGTACTTTCCTATCTATTACTAGGGTTTTTTTGCCTTTCCTATTTGTCCAGAGTTAAGTTTTTACAAATCGTGTAACTCAAGTTTAGCAATAAGGTGTGGTCTTTTCGTGTTATGTTGCCTTTTGACAATTTTGTAGTGTTCTTTCTTTTGTCTATATATAATAAGATTCAGAGTTTTTCAGTAAGTTTTCTTCTTTTCTCGTCCTTTAATTTTTTTTAACATAACACTCATTTGGTTCATAGAAAGTCTGTTTGAGAATGAAGAGTTAATTCCTATAGAGCATGATAACGGAAGAGTTTCATTCCAGAGTTTGAAAACTATACGGAGAAAGGAAACGAGGAAAATGGTTTGTTTTCCAATAATACATTTGCATTCCTATGTGAATTAAAACAGTATTACGTACAAATTTACACTGATGGTAATTTATAGAAGAAAAAAAAGTAGAAGTGGGTTTAAAATCCATTTGGCATTATTCGTTCCCATCACTGGTTTTATCACATATAAGAATGATTCACATAAATGATTCCTATGGCTGTAATCCACGAATCAAATGAACCAGTATATTGTCTCAGACACAAATATTTTTATTTACGTCGTGGTTTAAAGAACAATTTCACACAGTATTATATATATGGTATAATCCGTCATGAGAATATGATTAACCTTTAATCTTATTTTTGTTGATTGACTTGATTCTAAAGCGAAAATTTATGGCCGAACCTTAAGAGAAAGAAGAAAAGCTACCGGGGCCGGTGAAGGGAAACTCATAGCATTAGACACATGCATGCACATTAATTTGTGTGACAAGTTTATAAACATAATACAAACACAAAATCTCTGTTTTTATATATGAGTTGATACAAAAAGAGGAGGGCATGATCAACACGTGCGATGTTTATGCAATATATGCATGCACCTTGCTAATGTAGATTTTTTATTGTTCCTCAGTATCCAATTCCGGCCCTCTCTTTCTCATATCAGGGGAACATCTTTTGTGTTCTCCAAATACTTTATGTCGATTTGGTCGGAAATTTACATATGTGTTTTCAAGTTTTTTATTAGGACGGTTGTCTGTATGCACATATTTCTCCATATTTTATATATCCATTTATTTTTAAAATACTTTTAGAAAACACTCCTACGAGTAGCAATGTAACCAGCCGAAATATGAAAAGTAGAGGAAGTTATAAAATACAAAACAAAAAGGAAGAAAAGAAAAGGAATTTAGGAGTCACGTGAAATATCACATAACCTGGTTCCATCCATGAGCTTTAGAATTGGTGGGAGTTGGGGTTTAGGGTTATGATTCAAAGGAGCCAATGTTGGCACAGTGTGAACTAAAACCGAAAAGATGTTTACTAATTTTTATAATTATTGTTTAATGAAGTTTATGCAGGATTATGCTGCATAAACCAAAAAAAGAAGAAGAAATTAGTGGAGGCCTACAGAATGAGTTGGATATGACAATGTTGCTTATAAAAATAATGAATAAGGTTTAAGTGCCTAAAAGCTAGTTTAATTAATCATACAGCCTATAGAAATAGTAGGGGCATACATTTATATACTTATATTCACTCTAAAATGGAAGCATACTTCGATCAAGTAGCTTTAATTTATACATAGTGAGAAACGGAACATCTCTCTATTCTACAAAACCAATCATGGTTTTTATTATGCCCTCTCCAATACAAGGATTGAGATCCACTCTGGATCTCATACTCTGTAGCCTATGAATCAAGCAATTCGAAACATTTAAGAGAGAGAGAGATTTGAGCGTTGGAGAGAAGGACGTGTGTGAGGTTGGCCAATGGATGGGCTGACGGAGACCGCTAAATTTAAATTGAACGATCCGGATTGTGGGGTCCGCAGGCTTTGGAGTGTGAAATCCAGAGAGGATCCCAATCCGAGTACAACAAAAGAAAGAGAAGAAAAGGGGAATAGAAAACTGTTTTGTTTATTGTTATGGTTCAACACCTGAGCCTTATGACCCAAGTGTTCATTTTGCTTAGGAATTTATCATATATAATTAGTTCAAACTTGCCATTTAGTACTACGGATAGTAGTATTCTTCTTCACTTGTAAGT